TGTTATCGTTACGTCGAGCAATTAATTATTCTTCAAACGTTAAAAATTCCTGTAAAGTTACTACATTAAAATGGTATTAGAAAAATCGTACATTGACAATATTTTTAAGAAAATCTTAAAAACAACGCATTTGGAACATTACGACTTTATTACTGAAGAGCACAAGCCCAAAGAGACAAAGTATGAAGGTGAGAAATATTTTGTTACAGTCAAGAGTAGTGTAAACAGTGATAAACTCTGCTTATTTATTAAACGTGCATTAGTTGACAGTGAAATTAGAAAACTGTTACCAATACGTGAATTTTTTATTAATGAAAACTATTTTTATGAACATGTTTGGGCAAGTTTAGAGCACTTTCAAGAAAGTTATGGAGGGAAATTTGTATTTCATAAAATACCAAAGTGTTATTTGACGAATTCGAAACAAAATTCGGAAACGATTGTATTGGAGAAATTGACTCATTTTAGGGCTAATGATCTTACAGAACTTTTTACTAGAGAACAACTATTGCTAGTTTTCCAAGAATATGGAAGATTTCATGCACTTTCCTTTGCGTACAAAGAAAAACATCCCCAAGAATATCAAAGGTTAGTGAGTCAAATTAGAGACAATTATAAACACTATAAAGATATTAAAATGTACGTAGAAGCTATGAACTACTCTCACAAGATATGTGTCAGTTATTTAGATGACAAAATTGCCAGTGATATTAAACATTATAGCCAATATGCCACAAATGCAATGGAGATTTATATAGAGAGTAGTCAATATAAAGGAAATAAATCTGTGGTAACGCATGGCGACGGTTGGATTTCAAATTATATGTTTCACTATGACGTAAGTATTTTTTTCTACTCTCTTACTAGTAAATTGTAAATGCATCATAACAGATACTGACACGTAATGACTAGCACGTAATAAAAAAAATTACGCTTCAGTTCTATAAAAATGTGTAATATCACATAAGCCTTGTAAGTCAGTTGGTCGAGTTACCATGGAAACGAATTAACAGACGTTATTTTGCAGATTAAAAATTATTAATATGTCAGTGTAAATATAGTGGTAATTTAATTTTTATTTTTATAAACGAAAATAATTGTAGAAAAAAGTATAGTACACAACTTGAGTTGTAAGCTTATTACATGCTTGTAAAATTACTGCGCTCGCCGCTACGCGGCTCGCGCGCAACTTATTTACTCGCATGTAATAAGCTTCTTACAACTCACGTTATGTAATATACTATAAATTTAATTAAGCTGTGAACAAAACAACAGCTTTTATGACTTTTTCATTAGTTGTAATGTTTTAACGTTTTAGTTAAAGAAATCTATTTTAATAACTTAACGGTCTTATTTTCCGTTAGCTGTTACATTGGTCTTCTAGACTTTCGCAATGCCTACCTTATATAAGTTTTCTGCCAGTACCCGATAAATATTTAATTTTGTCGTGGTATATGCAGGTCTCTTGTATCAAAGCGACATGAAAGATCTGCCTGTAAGAGCCTATTTGCAGTATGGACAGAGTCCTCAACTTAGTTTATCTATTTGCTCATGTCCTTTATATTTTTTTGTAGATTTAAAATGATCACTGATTTGTGACTATCCTCTGAACCATCTATTTTTGTATCTTTTATTTTTGTTACAAGAAATGCTTCTCTTCCAGCTCTTTGGGCCATCGTCTAGGCAGCACTTTTTCACCTGTTTCATGCATCTCATGGGCATTGAATGTTACTTCTTGAAATTGAATTAAACCGTTTGTAGAACAAACCTCACTGCGTTATGAGTCGGATTGTTGAATTTTTGTGATATAGTCAGTGAGCATGGTAAAGATGAGCACATATGTATGTGCATTTATGGATTTGCTTAGGTAGTTGATATTTTATGTTCCCAGACGTGTAGTATTGGCTAAAAATAATCAATTATTATAATCAATAAGCAAAAATATTTAGTTATACTTAAAACCATCAAAGCCACATTGGTATAAAATAATTATTTATCGTATGGAACTACATATTTTACGACCTAAATAATAAACTAGGATCAATGTCAAATTTTGATACAAAGTTAAGGTCAAGAGAAACACACGCTTATTATTATTTCTCGAGATTTAGATTATTCACATTGTAGTGTTATGTTGAGCTAGGTTAGTTTACGCAATCTCTGTACATGAAGAATATATTTAACTTATATATTTAACTATGTGTCGCATTTTTGGTTTTTCTAGTCATCATCATCATCTTTATCTCGACAATTCTCTGTGGATCCTGGTCTGCTCTAAAAATAGTTGCCATTCTGTTCAGTTTCTAGCAACGTGTTACCATCTTCTGATCTCCAGTATCCATAAGTCGATCTTAACTCCATCTAACCACCTAATTCGGGGTGGGATTCTGCTTCTTCTTCTTATCGTAAGCGTTTTGCAATCATGATGATAGGCATTTGTATTATGTGCTGCTATTATTTTTTTTGTACTTACCTAGTAAAATACACGGTCAAAGATCAGTAGATTAACACGACAATTCATAGTTGTGAGGGTATTCTTTAACTAATATTTTCGAGCTTCAACGTAACTAAAATCTCCATTTCAATTGCCTGTGGCGATTCTGTGGCGATTATATGTGGCAAAGAATGCTTCGATCATTCAGTCTTTTTTTGTTCTAATAGCGATTTAAGGATTTTTAATTTTCGATGTAAGGTCTAGTAGCATAATAAATATAATAGATTAAATACACTTTGCAGTCCTTTATTAGGTTTTCTTTGTTTTCTAGGTCTACTGTTACTATTGCATTTAATTATATTTTAAGCATATACTTACTTTTCTAGTAAAAATGCCAACTCTATTTATATCTGTATCTCCCATTAATACGATATCTAGCATACATTAAATATTATTAGTGTCTCTGAATTATATTATATAACAAATTACATTTCTTTTTTTTTTTTGTTTTAGACAACTGGAAAGCCGTTGGACCTTAGATTTGTTGACTTCCAATTATCACGCATAGGCACACCTGTCTACGATTTATCTAGTAGTTTATATGCTTGCTCTTCTCCAGACCTTTTTTCAGATTTCAATAGGTTACTCGAAGTTTATTATAGCAGCCTGTCACAATCACTAAGAGGTATGGACTGTGACCCTGACAAAATATACAGCTTTGAAGATTTAACACGTGATTGGAAAACGTATTCAAAATTTGGATTTTCGTATGCAGTGTTTGCAATCACAAAATCTCTAGTCGAAGATGAGAGCGACATTGATGACAGTTTAAACACATGGAACAATAATATGACTAAAAACATGGAAGAACAAACTGTTGATGTAGTGAATGTAAAATCTAGATTAACATTATTATTACGTCATATGGTAATAAATGGTTTTCTGTAAAGTTAATAATAATATATATTTTTGTGTTCTGGTTTCTCCTTCATTTAAACTGAATCAAAAAAAGCTATGAGGTTTATTAGCGGCGAATATACAGGATGTGGTTATGTTAAAAAACTGAAAATTTGAAGGTGTAGATATTGGATGATCCTGAGTTAAAATATTATGCTGTCCTAAATGTGGCACCTCCGATTATATTGGAAGTAGATGTGAACTTTGTTCTGTTAAATAGAAACTAATAATTTTTATTTTCTTCTCGAATTCTACATCAAATTTTAGATGATAAGATTTGTACATATTGAGGGCTATGATGTATCATTTATGTGAAATACTTACATGATGTAAACTCCGATTTTAACACATTTATGTAAAAAATTTCAAATCGGTAAGATGTAAGAACTACGTATAATGGGTTGCCTACCTTGATATGTAATGTCAATCTTATAGAGATGTAATTTTTAAACTGCCTAAAATTACGTGCCGCTCTTAGTTAGGTTATGTTAATGTATGTTATTTGTGAAAACAATACTTACTATTTTTTATAATTATAATAAAATAGACTAATGGCTTAAATTAAAAAGAAAACAACCATGAAAAAATTGGAAGTGATGGACTTCATAAAAATAAACAGTGCTTACTGACAAAATAGCCAAGGAAGGCTAAAAAAGTAGCCTACTTGTGACAGGAATTTGCTATTATGGTAAATACAGTAGATGGTGGCCCTAAAACCAGGAAAAAATGGAGGCCAAGAAAACTAATTTCTGTTACTATCAAATTTATTAAATACTAAATTTTTAGGTGTTCAATGAGTGGAAGATTTTACAACTAAAAGATTCATCTTGGAGAGCCCCAGATTATAAATACATTTGATTTTAAAGGCAAAGATTATTGATTGATGTATGATGCTTATTATAGTTTATATATTTTTCAGAAGGAAAAGGAAATCAACATGTGAAAATAAAAGACAACACTTTTATTTAACATTCTGTTAACATACCTTTTATAAAATTAAATCTAAATTATGGAGTAAACTGAATATAACCATTTTTATTTAACAATTTTATAACTCAAATTTTTTAGCAAAACATTTCGTATTCTAAGGGTTTTAAAAATTTTTGACCCACTTTGTAATATTTTTCAGATTTTTTGTTTTGTCTCGACCTTTGTGTTATTCTTTTTGATTTTGTAACTAACTGTAACATACTTACATGTTTCATTTCCTAAATATCATTATGAAATATAGTAATAGTAAATACATTTATTTAATAATTTCTTTTTATTTTATACCACAAAGTTTGCATCAATAATACTTCTTCATATTCTCTAAGGTTTATGAGAACATTTGGATCATTTGTAATATATTTTAATTTGTTTTAGATTTTTTTACCATTATCATTAGTCAACATCAACACAGGAATATATAATGTTTCCAGCTTTAACAGGGCTGTAATGTAAAACCCTGTGCTTCTGCAAATAATTCTTTAGGACAATCCTTCATTCACCCCTGTGTCTACCAACTCTTCTCTACATTCTAAATCCAATAGATTTTAAATCATCCTCTAAGTTGTCTTAATACCGAAGTCTTGGTCTTCTTCTGGTTTATTGTCCCATCAGCCCTCTTCTGTTAAAAACCTTTCCGAATGTTGCACCTAACTCTTGCCTGATTAAATGCTCTATCCATGTAAGACATGCTACCTTAATGAATTTTCAATACAATAAAGTTTTATTGTCTCTGCTACAAACCTTGTTCTTTGTAGTAGTAAGTTTTAGGTTTACTTTGTAAAATATTTTAGATTTGTTTTAATTTTTTAAATTGTATTCTTTACTTGTATGTTTTAATGTTCCAATAGTTTTAACAAATGTTGGACTACTTTGTAATATATTTTAAATATGTTTCATTTAAGCTTTTTGCAACATAAGGGTTTGTAACATAACTCTAAGGGTTTTCAAAACCTTTGAGCCAGGCTGTAATATATTTTTTTTTGTTAGTGTTATGTCATTTTTGTAATAAATTGTAACATACATGAATTATGTTTTTGTTTTTAAAAATATATAAACATTTTTAATTTAAAATGTTATAATACAGTTTACAGAAATATGATATCTTTGTATTATCTAAAGATTTTAAACATTTTTGAGCCACTTACTAATATGTTTTTGATTATATGTTTTGAGCTTTTTGTATAATTGTAATATTAATATTTATATCACTAAACTATATTTGATTATAAAACTATATAACTATTTATTATTATGAAATAAATAAATTATGAAAGTAATAAAAGTTTTTGTTTCACTACACAAAGTTTGCAGCAATAACACTTCTTCTTATTCTCTGTCCCTCCAACATCCAACCCTTGTTTTGATTTGCTTCCTTTGGAATCATTTCTATTGGAATTGCAGGCTGTACTTCATCTTTTTCACCATTTTTGCATCAAGTGTTGCACTATCCCTGCAGTTATTTCTGTGAATACTAAATGTACTTTGTTTCATTGAAAATAACAGGTTTTTACCAGTACATTTTTGGTAATTTCGATTTCCTACAAAATTAAGTAGGGAGAAAAGCTTTAATTCTGTTGCAATTTTGTTACCCCTTTGCCTTTCAGGAATTACAGGTCGCAAAGTATCTACAACATACCTAGCAATGTTTTTCGACACCTTAGAATACTTAAGAGTTATCATGGTACAATGTATACCATGAAGAGTTATCTATTTTAACTGGGTTAGTGGTATCCCTTAACTGTCGTGGCTCTATATTTACCTAATTTCTCTCTGCCACATCATTCAATTCATTAAGTAATATTAAATTTACAAAATCCATTTTTTTTAAATAAACAAATAAAACAAACACGAAGCCAAAAGTTAAGTTAATTTGTATTAGTTGACAGATCTTCAGTATATGACAGAACCGAAAATCAGGTTTTATGTAATTTTCTGCTATAGCTTGGTCATTTTACGCATAGCAACGCAGGGCAAGATACATCATACCGTTTTTATATATTATGTTTTGAGAACTGTAATATGATGTACGTGTTCTGAATTTTACACTAGTATGTAATTATTTACGTAAATGATACATCATAGCCCCCAATACCATACACCAAAAGTGAAGTATTTTCGAGATATTTCGTTTTTTTTTTAATTTTTAAAACATACATGAATAACAAGATATCCACTAATAAGAAGGCCATTAGCAACAAATTGTAATCAATAAACCAAAAACAGTTTGTCGATTAGCATAATTTATACAATTTATTGATATTTCATACAGAGTGTTATAAATTTAACCGCCAACAAGCACAATTTAAATCATTCATAAGTTGTTTACTTTAGAACTTCCTTTAGAACGCCCTAAAGTAGAATACCCTATATTTTATTACATTTTCTGCTGTATTTTGTTAAGCCAATTTATTTAGTATTGGCATTTCCTATACTTAAATCCTACCACTTTTGAGATATGTCTTTATCTAAGTTAAAACATAACAACACTTAATTATTTCAATAATAATAAAGGGTATGCCATGACTGTCAAAAATTTGATTTGTCAAAATTTGTCAAAAATTTTATAGTCAGAACGTTAATTGTTTGTACAGTACTGTTCTAAAAGTTTTCTTAAATAGTTTGAATAGTATATTAAATAACGGTAAATGTACGATTTTTTAAAAAACAAATCTAAGATTGAGACCCTAAACTCAAAAAAGAATAAAAAGTATTATAATTGTCATTACAATTAATTGATATTTAACCCTTAAACTGACACAACGTACTCTGAGGCCCTAGTTGTCACAATATGCTAAACTTTACTGTGATACCTACTCTGTAGGTAACGCACAGAATAACAATTAGTATGTTTTCTGCAATTACAAGGTATAATCCGGTATTTTAAGGTGATCTAGTTACACCGGCCGGGTGGAGATTCGCATTACGCCATTATCATAAATATTCCTTTCACTATTCCAGTGAGAGTGCATTAAAACGCCCAACGTGGCAAACAATTAAGTTTGGAGACAAAAACTTTCATCAAATTTTGGCTTTTCTTTCTCCAATGGCGCGACAGCCTGAATCAAGCCTGAGCCTCCTTAGACTTGCTAGTCCCGATCGTCTCCAGGTTCTTACCTCTAGCAAATTTTGCGCGTTTACTGCCACTTCATCCTCTCAATATTTCCGTGGCCTTCCTTTTTGTCTTGTACCCAGCAGTTTACTATCTAGTGCTCTTTTTGGCAATATTTTGGCCGCCATTCTCGCTACATGACCAGCCCAAGTCTGTAAAGTTTAACGAATTCTGAGATCGATGCCTCTTTAAATAGTGGATCTACATACTCTGTTTTCGTTAATAGGTCCACATATCTTTTTTAGGAGTTTTCTTTAAAAGACTTTCAGCTTTCGTTTTGTGTCCTCTGTCATCACTTTTGTTTCGAATCCTAACCATACTATTGATGTGGTAATAGTTTTGTAGACCCTGATTTTTGTCCTCCAATATGTGTTTTTGGAGCGGAATATATGAGCGAGCGAAAATACAACTTTGTTTTATTTTACTATTCATCTTTAAATTTCTAGTTCTTCTGTTCCATTCGTGTTAAATGTTACTCCCAGATATGTGAAACTTTCTACAGTTTTAATATCGTCTCTAATTTAACAATTTAACTATGCGTCTATTTCTCCTAGTTCTTGCCTGTACTAGTCTTTGCTTTTGGGTGATTATTTCTAGTCTAGTCTCTTCTCTCCCTGTTTTTAATTATTGATATATTTCTGTTGCCTCTTCTTTTCTGCAAGACATTTTATTGTATTTATTTATTTGTTAGTAGATTACTTCTTCTTATAGTCACATATTCATATCACATATTCAAGGGTCAGGTTGAATAGTGCCAGAGCCAGTCTCCTTTGACTATTGAAAACTTCTCAGTAAGCTCAGTTTGTACTCTGACAGTTGCTGTTGATGAGTCCTTTGTTGCTTTTACTAGTAGGATGCATTTTGGGGGATGTTAAAGCGTTGCAATATTTGATATAATTTTTATCTATTAATTGAGTTTAGATTTTTAAAATTTGTTTCACTGTCAATAGCTGGTCAGTTATAGATCTTCCTTGCAGAAAATTGGTTTATTCTTTTCCGACAATATTTATTTAGTTAGTTGTTGGAGTCGTTTATTAAGTATATAAGGAAAAACTTGTATCCTATGCCCACGAGGCTTATGCCGCGATAATTTCCTCATTTCAGTGTATTCCCTGTTTTATAGATTGGGCATATAATCCCGGTTTCCCAGTCACTAGAGATCTTTTCCTCTGAGTATATAAGGAAAAACTTGTATGCTCTGCCCAAGAGGCTTATGCCGCGATAATTTCCTCATTTCAGTGTATCCCCTGTTTTATAGATTGGGCATATAATCCCGGTTTCCCAGTCACTAGAGATCTTTTCCTCTTTCCAAATCTTGTTCATAAGTATATGCATTTGTCTTACTACGTGTTCGCCTCCTAATTTATATATCTCAGACGGGACTTTGTCTATACCTGGAGATTTGTTATTCATCTGTATTCGTATTGCTTGTTTTACCTCTTTTATCATCGGGAATTCTATATTTTCTGTGTCTCCCTCAATGTGCTGCATGTTACTAAGCTCTTCATTTTCTTGCGTCCCTAGAAGAGTTTGAAAATAGCTTTTTCAGACTAATTTTATTTCTTTTTGGATCACTGGTTATTTGCCCTTCTTAATTTCTGCATAGATTTGTTCGTTGTTTGTATCGTTTTCTTAAATTGCGTAGATATCTATTCGCTTCCCTTATGTCGCTGCTTTGAAAATTTTCTTTTACTTTTGTATATATTACTGTTTTCGTATTTTCTGTTCTCTATTCGAAATATTTTATCGGCCCTCCGTCTTGCATTTTCGTAGCTTGCTCTTCTTTCTCTGGTTCTTTTTTCCATATATTTCTTGTGCTTTTATTTTCTTTCCTTATGACCTTTTTACACTCGTTCTTAAACCAATATTTTTTTGTTTGTGTCTTTTTTTATGCCTATGATCTTTCTTGCTGCGTCATTTACTTTTGTTTTAATTTCTTTCCAATGTTCTTTGGTACCTATACTGCCTGTATTTATCGATGTTTGTGTTATTTCTGTCCATAGTTCTGTTTGATATCTTGTCTCAATTTTTGTATACTTAGTTGTTTTGT